TATGGGAATCAACAGAAGCTGCTTCAAGCGTGCGAACTATGTGAACTCAACAACGAAGAACACATCAAAGCAGCCGAAGCTTCCACCAAGCAAGCGGTTGTCGTCTTTTTGTGCCACATTGGAACAAAATACGCTTATTTCTGCTCCCGCTCCGGCGTGTCCTCTAGGTGTGCCGAAGTCATTGTAAACCCGTTACTGTGCCGTTTCTGCATGATATCGCTGTTCTCGCTCTAGTCCCCGGATATTCGTTTTCGAGCTTGAACCATCGCCACAGTGACTTGTTTATTTTGGGGTGGTTTGGCGTGCAAGGTGCTCTTCCGGTTCTATGCTTGACAAGCATGTTCAACACTGTTTGATTACTAGTTCCTAGATTTTTTAGATTTGTTGGTACTTATTTGCAAGGTTTGTCTTTGGCCTCTCGTCTCGTGTTGTGTGTGGTTTATGTCTGGCTATGCACATGTCCGTTCACACAAAGTGTAACGCAAGCACGAAGCATCGCAAACTATAGTGGGTAACTGTCTTCATCTGCGCGCAGAAGGGAAGGGCAGGTGTGAGTCAGAGCTTTTTCCATCTCGTCATGGAGAGCTGGACCAACAGAGAACATCCAAACCCACAGGGGTCCCAGTGCCAGAAATGCTAATCGACAGGCCTCTCCCCCGGTTCTTCCGTACAGCAGGAAACCAATATGCCCGAAATCAAGCAGTGATGATGACGATGATATGAAAGTCGACACACCTGCAGTGAAGAGATTTGCAAGCTGAAGGGCCTGTCTTTCGGTCCGTGCCTCTTCCATCCCCGGGTCCTATCCAGTCCTGTCCCGTTTGATTGAATTATCCTGACTCGGGTCACTGGTGCATCGGGGTGACAAGAATGATACGTTGGGACAATGCTTGCTCTTGTTGTCTCGCCCCTGGGGTTTGCACTTTTGCTACTTTCCAGTTTTGCCGAGGTGCTTAAACAGAGGCAGTCGCACAAATCCTTACACTGCGCATGTGCTGATGTTGTACTAATGACCTATTGCTGGCGGGTGTTGCGCGAAAAGCTGTAGCCGCATGCAACAGCAAGCACCATCACTGACCATCACAGTAATCGAACCGACCACCACAGCGACAGGAGCGACCGTGAAGCAGCAACCGACTGTAGCATCAAGGTCAGCAGGGCAGAAAGGGACGCAGGCGGCTGCAGTGTCCAGATTACAACAGAACGTGGCATCCAGGGCAATGGTGTGCCCACATGCGCGCTGTCGACAGCGGGCCAGCCATACCTTGGCTGGACAGCATGTGCAAATCTTCCGTGAGAAGTCTTCAGGCTCCGACCAAGAACAATGAGTAACGATATGCCTCCATGTCGACGAGCAAAGCTAATACAATGAGGAACTGGAAAGGTTGGAAGAAAGGATCAACAATGACGCGGTCCTTGGGAAAGCTTGCTGCTGCCGATGACAGGATCACTGGAGCCCAGAATGCGCATGCTTGAATCTCCTTGTCCACTACGGCCCTTAACCCCTGCTTGACAGGAAAGGCATCCGGATGCGAGTAGTCGATGGTGTACGATGCCTGTTTACACGGCTCACACACAACAGCAAGACAAGAAACAGCCTCAACAGCGCCAGCCATCCCCACAACATGCTACTTGAGCTGTGGCAACAGCAGATTTCCTGCGAGACTCAAAAGACAGGCAACAGCAACCTGCAAACGTTGAGGATGGTTACGATGACTGCAAAGCCACCGTGACTGTGGTATTGATTCGTACTCCCTGTGGTGGACTAGTATTGAACTCACAGCGTATTCACGGCTTATGGCTGTAGAGGGTTTTTAATTTCGGGCAGGACTCGTCGAACTTCCCTAGTAGTAGTAGTAGTAGTAGTAGTAGTAGTAGTAGTAGTAGTAGTAGTAGTAGTAGTAGTAGTAGTAGTAGTAGTAGTAGTAGTAGTGCTCCTACGACTACTACCACCGCGACGACAAGGACTAGAACTAGTACCAGTTGCAGTGCTAGTAGTAGTCGTGTCGGTAGCAGTACGAGTGGGAGTCGGAGTCGTACTAGTGGCAGTAGTGGTAGCAGTGGTAGTAGGCTTATGGGTAACAGCAGGCGTAGGATTGGAGGAGGAGTATTGGGAGAACCCCCATTGTCTGGCACCGTGGTCAGACGAGAGCAAGCTCAGTCTCCGAAGCCAGGAAGGAACGGAGCTCAGGATCTCCTGTAACACGAGAATCGCTGCCGTTCTTCACCTAGTTTCGAGTTTCGAGGACCGCCGGCCCTATAACCCGATGATACTTGGATCTGTCCCAAGCTATCCCATCATGTGATCTTTCCGGCGAAGCCTTAACAGCTGGTGCTTCCAAGCTCGCCCGAGACCGGGTGGTTTCACCTGGCTTGAGCCTCACATGTTCCGAGCCTCTCCGAGCGGGTACCCCTTTCGGTGGCAGAGCTCCGAAAGGTTGCACGACAACTCACCGTACCTGTGGCCTTATCAAGGAGTTGAGGTTCCATGGATCTGTCAGGCCAGTATGAAAGCAGATTCACCCCGTGTCCAGCGACAGCCTACTGCAAGCCTCAGAACATGCTTCACGTTCTTGGCATGTTGTAGCATCCCATACTATAGCGATGCGTTAATGGAAGCTTGCTATCTTCACCCAGTGTTAGCCGTGACTTATCGAGGTGGATCCTGCGGGCCTTGCCCTGTACATAACAGGAGTTGGTCCACTGACGAGATGATGAGAAGACAGGTCTTCGGATGTAGTGGTCCCCATACTGACAGTTTTCCTTGAAGCGGCCACCAAGCATTGTCGGAGCTCAGTACCCCTCCTGCAGAAACTGTGTATTCTAAGCTGCCTTCTAGATGAATCTGTGAGACTACGGTTGCACAAGTCTCGTCAGTCAGATGGGCTGACTCCGGGAGTCGCAGATCATGGGAGGTGGCAGCCAGGTCCGGCCTTTCCGACGAGCCTTCGTGGCGCCGACGAGGGTGTAGGTCAGACACCATCAGACACTGTCAGCATGTCAACAACTTAACCTACAGACTTACAATGTTTGCACTTGCACTTCAAGTGAAGGCCAAGCATCAGTCTTGCAGGAAACACGTCAGATCGACGAAGACGGCAGCAACATATTCCATGTTCCTCTAGCCAAGTGTTGCAACGGATGGAGCCCCGAACGAGGGGATGAATAGCACGCTTTAATTTGCCGATGTGGTGAAGTCTTGCCTCGTCAACTGGACCTGCTGTGCCTTGGATGATCGTTTGAGGCCCGCATCCATGCGACCATAAGCAGGGCAAGTTTTCGAGCTGGCGGTGAGACGCCAACGTGTTGAGCCGTCCCATTTCCTTATGTGGGACATCCCGTAGCGGAATGTCAGGATGTAGACCTGTTTTTCTTGGCCCGTAGCAGGACAACTGACGGCAAACTGGTAAAGGCTTCGACAATGCATTTGCATTGGCTTCGCCTAGGGCAGTTGGACATTGAGGTCTAGATGTGACGCAGGCTCCTGCTTGTTCCTGCTTCGAGAGCACATTTCACAGGTCCAGACATTTGTTGTGCAGAGCCTTCACCAGCCATGATTCCGCCAAGCTGCGCTGACTTGGTGCTGCAAAGTACTCGCTAGGGTGTAAGTGTAGGATCACACCTTTTCAAACTCTAAGGTAGGACGGCGCGCTATTTGTTGTTGAGTTCTCAAAGCGCGGACATCACACGACTGGCTATACTTATCCGAGCTTCTGATGAAGGAGGCCCCCTATATCTGAAGCTAATCCTATGGGCGACCAGGTATTTCTACATATGCATACCGATTCGGCATCTACAGAGGGCTAGGCAAGATCCGGAACCCGCAAATCCATGGATCGACACTGCGGCTGAAGTATGGCAGTCACTCCCGACTCCCGACAGCCAGAAGCTTCCTGTGAAAGACCGTCCGGCCAGGAAATTTCCGTTTTGATGCATCGCAGACTCACGTGTATGGCTGTTTGTCACTTTACCTCCAGCCTCCGGCATCCGGCTCCACCTTGTGGCCTTCCGTAACGTCTCTTGCACACGTGCATGGCTATACTGAACGAAATGGAGGGTCTCCGTGTAATTTTTATCGACTGTTGAAGGGCGGCAATCGCCAATAAAGTCACACGCTCCAGATATGTCAGCTCTGAACTAAACTGCAATTTTGTTGCAAGTTTCAAGAAAGCAGGAATCCTGCATATGCTGCAGCACACTGTCGCCTGCTGCAAATGTCCGTTTATTCTGCGCACATGTCTGCCTGCTACCTCTCCTCTGACTTCAACCGCGGCTGCACGGCCAAAATGGCAGTTGCGATCTTCAAAAGCTTGGCCTGCACTCTGCTACCCCTGTGCTCTGCTGAATTTGCATGTATTGTTTTTGCTGCCTGCAAAGGGCTTGCAAGCTGCAAACGCTGCGCACAGCATTCGGAAGCCTGCACTTGCTCCGGAACAGCACTGCGACATCACCACGGGCGGACACACACACACACGCACGAATTCCTACATGTGCAGGGATTCCAAACTGCGCAAGCCCAAGCCACCATCTCTACTACTAGTACGACCCCAACGGTTTGTGGATATGACTGGAAAGAGGAATATGAGGAATTGAATTGTAGCAGGGGGGCATTCATCAGCACGGAAGACGCCGCAGATTTCCAGGACGGACAGAGCTGAGAGGCGAAGCGTGTTTCCCCCGTTCAATGCTGCAAGTTCCTTTGAATCTGATTCTACCCCCCGAACCTGCGCAGAACCTGCCCACGTTATGTTCAGTGCTTCGTCTGCAGAGCTGGGCGCTGGACTGGCAGCTTCTGGCATGAAAATGATGGACAGCCCCTGTCTCTGCAACCGTGTGGTCGTAGCTCTTGCTCTCGCTTTTGCGCTCCCCTCTTTCTCCACCCCTTGCTCTCTCTCTCTCGCTCTCTCTCTCTCTCTCTCTCTCTCTCGCTTCCTCCCTCCTTCCTTATGTGTGAATTGTTTGATGGGTAATTGGCTCATATACTGCAGAATCTTGCTGAGGCATTTCGATGCAGACGGGTGCTTCACTGGTGCGCCAGATGTCGAGGAGGCTCGCGTCAAGCTCCTGCAAAGGGGAGATTCACAAAAGGGCGAGTCCCCTCCAAGCGTATGGAAAACCCACACGAGTCACCAGAATTTGCTCATAGCTCGACCCGTTACCCTGCGGAAAGGCTTCAGCGCATTGCGAGCGGAGGGCGGGGTGCATGTCGGCAGACCAACCCAAACCCAGATTTGTATCTAGACTCCGTTTTCTAAAGAAACATCAACCCCATCTCGGTGCGCAAGCCAGGGCTATATTTTCGTCGCACAAAGAATCCAAAATTCTAAGTTTTGGAAGGATCTTTAATAGGACCTCCTGGCTTTTGGGTTAGGGTCGAGTGCTCAGAAGTTTAGCATGACTGGGGTCCTTGACACCAGGACACGGCAGTCCCAATCGAGCGGTCTCCGAGCTCCTTCATGTTACAGCTCGCGAACCCTGAACCCGTTTCAGTAGACCGCACTGACCCCACACCTCGAAGCGTCCGTGAATCGGCGGTAATGGGTGTGTCCGCACTGATGCCAGGAATCCGTTGATCAGAGGAGCTTCTGTCAAGTGTTTTCCTTCACGAATCCAGGCAGGGATTTGTGAGGTTCTCAACTGTGGTTGCGCTTAAGGTAAGAACTAGAGGTCAGCATATAGTGACCGTGCGAAAGTCGTATCCCCTGTGACCCTGTGGCGAGACCTGTTTGGCAACAAGAGTGCTTGGAGTGGCTTACAGGATTGCTGACTCTTGCCGGTTTTGACTCTTCAGACACATCGATGAGGGGTTGACGTTTAGAACCACGTACTACTGGACTTCAAAATCGTAAAGGGTTTGATCAGCTGCGGAAGGCATTTTTCTGATATGCTTCAGTATATACTAGAGGGTTTGAGAGGCTGGAACGACTTGAGTCCAATGCCGCACACTCCTGGAATGTCTGTTCTTCGTCGAAGGGTACCTTACAGGCTGGCCTACGTCGGTAACTATATTGTGGTCAGACCACAAACCTCAGGCAGTGACCACCACAGAAGAACCTCTCGCAGCTCCTGCAAGCCTCTAGTATAGGGTAATGAATATGACAATTCCTGCGGCAGATACATACTTCGAGTTTAGGGTGGGAGGGACCCTGCAAGATTTCAAATTCTTTGCCGTCGGGTTTCGAGTTTGGTGGCTCGTCACTGTAAATCGCAACTGTCAACGTTGCGCCTTCTAAGTTTTCTTCCCAACATAGCAACAGGCGGGCGCTACAAGTTGGACCTCAGCCGGCCCTATCACCGAGCCATGCTCCGGATGCTCTGTAAAACGGCAGAGCGGTACAAGGTGCTCAATTTTTCGGGGAACCACGGTAGTTGGGACAGCTGTTTTGGTTTCGGGTTCTAGTGAAAGCGGCGTCCTGGCCGCGGAACCCGACGAACAGAATGAAGGCTAAGCCCCAACTGAACAGACGCCGAGGGAAACTGGAAGTTTACTGCAGTGATAGACATCATGCAGTAGCATACGTTGCGTTTTTTAGCTCTTAACACGATTCCGATGATTCCATTGGCTCAGGGTTGCATTGAGGTTCCCAAGCCATTTCCATGGTTTCAATCTTCGTTGACGCGCCTCGCAGGGATCACAAACCTCGCAATCACTCACTGGGGCTGTTCGTCCAGGCTGCAGCCCTCTTTTGAACAAAGCGCATTTTCGAGTACGTAGCCCGGAAGCCCAAGTCTGCACTGAGCTTGAAGCTCGATGCGTGTCCCGATAGACTGTGCTCCTACCGTGCTGGATCGTCTTCGAAGCGAAAGGAAACTCTTGTAGAAAGATCCACCAAGATGTTTGTTGCGGCACAGATTGAGTCAGCATTATGCCAGCGTAGACCCCAAACAATGCCACGCCCCACACAAGGTGCCCATCGACAAGCCGATGCTGGATGTCAGCTATTCCTTAGGGCACTTTCCTGTCCCGACGAAGCTGCTGGCCAGCACGGATGTAGGAACCCTGCGGCAAGGGTACATGTTAGAAAGGATCCTACGCCTACATCTAGCATGCAGCATGCAGCTTCGCGGATTCGGGGTCTCGGCATCGAACAAGAATGGTACTGCTGAGCTCTTCAACTGCCACCACCCTCAACAGGGAAAGATCGAATGTCGCTGTCAAATCACAAGCCGCCTCACGGATCCTCTGGACTGAACACGACCCCTCCCAGCCACGCTACAAGCGGGCTTTCATCCATATGGACGTGTCCAGCCCATCGAGACTGCAGTGATACAGTTGCTTTGAATTCTCTTGTCAGACCTTGCACTGCCTCTGCACTGGCACACACATACTGAGCCGATAAGACATGGACCGTGAAATGCTTCTCGCCTTCTAATGCAGACACCGCGGTTCCCGTGCCAGTTGACAGCACGACCTCCTATAAGCACAGTGTGAGTCTCGCCAAGGCATTCTAGCGGAGTCTTCCAGGTCCCCTCCTCTGGAGAGCATCTGGGCCGGAACCAGAGAGAGTGTCGTAAGCTGAAGGCCCTGCGTCCTTCAACCCTAAGCCCCAAGCCGCCCCCAGTCGGTTGGTGGGAGAGCAGACTGAGTTGAGAGTTTGTGTAGATCGCCATTTAGGTTTCAGCTTCTGTACCAACGGCAAGGCTAGCAGTTTTCTGAACAAGAAGTCTAGCTGTGTGCCTTAGTGACTTATTGAGTTGCTGAATTACTGAGCTGCTGAGTATGTGAGTGACGGCGAGAGAGAGAGAGAGAGAGGAGAGAGACATGCACGTTTTTTGGCATGAGTGCATGGAGAGAAACAGAGGGTTAGGATGGCGGCTGCAGAAGCCATTTCTAGAAATTCCCCCCTCCACTTGGTTCGGGCTCGAGTTTGAGGTTTCCATATGTTAGACCAACAACAGTTGTTAGACATATCGCTTCGTCGCTCTGTTTCTCTAAAGTTTCTGAATCCCAGACTACAGGAAACCCTACCAGGCACTGGAAGCATGTTCATCGGCTTTGGTTGATCGGAAATGACGTCTTTCCCTAACCCACGCTTGAAACACCCAGAGCGTTTCCCTGAATTTCCATCTCAGCCTAGGCTCTCTTTGACCTTCAGTCTGGAAAGTGAGATTGAGGACTTCGCTAACCCGCATGCACTCCTCATGGTGATGGTGATAGTGAGACAGTGGCTTTGCTGGTGCCCAGTGGTGCCCATGCGGTCATGGCTAAGTATACCTTTTCAGTCTGAGTCTCGGGCAGTTCTTCTGAGCAGAATGCACGGTAGAGGCTAATCTGACTTGCGCCGAACCCTCTCAAGGCCTTGCCCAACCTGCTCGCACAAATTACCTCTACACCCATCCCGGGGTACATTCCATGTGCATTGCTGCCAGCTCAGCCCACGCAACTAACAAGGCATGCACATCCGCAAAGAATCCCTAGAAGCAGGAAAACATCAAGGGCATCCGGGACGACAACTTCCTGGGGTTCCTCGAGCAGCTCGTTTCCGGCTTTGGACCTACATGTCTGCAACCAACGGGACTGTTGCCAACCGAGCATGAGCAGTGCCAGATATGCTGGAACTATACAGTGTTACAATCAATACGTAGTTACTGTTGCAAAAACATTGAGTGTTGTCTCTGATGGTGTGGGGTTGCATTGTGTGCATGCGGACTGTGTGGTGGAAGTATTTGCATGGCCGCACTACTCAAGGCATCGCTATTATTGCGCACTCTAGTAGGACCAGTGTCAGCCCTGTCTTTTCTGTGCCTCAGGAAACACTTCATGCTTACGCGCTTCCACCCGAGCTGGAACAAGGCTGTTGCAGCTGATTTGAGCTCCGAGGGCTTGAAGCAAGGTTGACTCGATTCACTCTTAATGAAGCTTTACGAGCGGGTGCACAGGCACCCACAAAGCACCATGAGGCCCAATATCAGCAGAAGCTGGGCAGCAAAACCGGACAATCCGAACGGCTTACGAAAAGAGATTGATATTATCGAGGAATTTAGGAGTAGCACTCATAGGACCAAGAGTTTCGACAGGTCGTGCCGCTGTTTGCAAAGTGGATAGAGCTCAGCGGGCTCCTCGCCATGACTCCATGCTTTGTTATGATGTTGGGGAAGGGTTGAGGCCGACCTTTCAGATTTCAAGATTGTGCTAGTTCTTTTGCGTTAAAGTCTTGGCGTGTTAGTGGTAGTGGTAGTCGCAGTAGTAGTAGTAGTAGTAGTCGTCGTCGTCGTCGTCCTCGTCCTTGTCGTCCTTGTCGTCGTAGTCGTAGTCGTAGTAGTAGTAGTAGTAGTAGTAGTAGTAGTAGTAGTAGTAGTAGTAGTAGTAGTAGTAGTAGTCACTGGGCCCACTCGGCGCCCCGACAGATTCATCGATTCTTGTAGTTGGAGGGTGGTTGGGGGGGTGGGGGGGTGGGGGGGTTAATAACGTGCTTTGCTGAAGAAATCACAGCTCGCGCTCTGGGCTTGTGTCACCTCAGCACAGCCTTGAACTTGGAAGTCTGCTGAAACCGGACTTTGCCCTCACCATTTGCTGGAAGCAGACTGCCCACGGGCCAAGCTAGCTTTAATCTGCCGATACTCTTGTCTGAGTGAGGAAGGCTTCTCAGAGATGTTCTCACAGCTTTCTCAGAACTTTCTCACAGGTTTCGCGATAGTTTCTCAAATGTTTCTCAGGGGCTTCTCACAGATTTCTCACAAGTTTCTCGCAGTTTTCTCACAGGTTTCTCAGAGCTCTCAAAGCTCTCTCACAGGTTCTCAGAACTCTCTCGCAACTTTCTCACTAGCTTCTCACGGGTTTCTCAGGGAGCTTCTCACTGATTTCCCACAGGTTTTTTCACAGCTTTCTCACAGGTCTGTCAAGGTTTTTGCACAGGTCTCAGAACTTTCTCACAGGTTCCCACAGGTTTTCCCACAGCTTTCTCAACAGCTTCTCAAATCAACCAACAAACCCAAAGCCCTGAGAGAGACAGAGAGAGAGAGAGACGTGAGGCAGCTGAGAAAGGCTTAATGCTGCATATGCTTCTTTCGGTAGCAAGCATCAGACATATGACTACATGCACGTGCAAACCTGTGACTAGAACTGTAGTTCCTCATGTATGGATGTGGGTGCGGGTGTGTGTGTGTGTGTGTTGTACATATGTATATATGTATACATACATGCATGTCGGGTGAAGCTACTTCTTTACAGGAGTTAGGCCTGCGACTTCTAATTACATACCAGCGTGTTCTGAAAACGACGAGGGTTCCTAGCAACGAATCCCGAAACAATTCCTGCGCCATTTACCCGAAACCCGTTCATGTCGATTCATGCCTAAACTTGTCATGACTACGCCTAACTTACTGGTATTTACATTACTTTCGGCCTCTTAGCTCAACTATGAAGGCTTTCACCTACATCAAAACTGCTTAGTTTGTCCCTTACGAGCATTTGGCCGTACTACATACATGTTTCTTGCAAACCACAAAAGTATTGTAATTTACAGTACTTCGCACACTAGAACGTCACAAGGACTTTGCTCTGGGTAGTGGGCGCCCAGAGAGCCCGGTGCGTAGTTGTTGTAGTAGTAGTTGTTGTTCTTGCAGTAGTAGTAGTAGTAGTAGTAGTAGTAGTAGTAGTAGTAGTAGTAGTAGTAGTACTTAGTAGTAGTAGTAGTAGTAGTAGTAGTA